CGAGGGCCGTACTTTGAGGACGCCTGAATTCTACTGCCTTCATATGAGAATTGAGTACATTGAATTCTCCTTTCTCCATTCTTGTAATATGCTTATAAATATTCTTGAGATTTGTTTTGTGATGTCGTTATTTGGAAACAGATTTGACCTTTGGGTCTTGCTTTTATGATTAGTTAAATCAGTTTAGAGCAGTGCTCAGTCTAGCACTAATTATTCTGTGCAATTAAGGCAAGACCTTTCTATGCATTCTGCCCACTGTTCTGTGAATTATGAACTTTTCCATCCTTGCTGGTGGGAGCAGGCACCCACCCACCTGGCCCTGTGTGAACGCTGTGCACTGCTGCGCCCTTAACCCTTTCTGTTCATTCTTTCAGAAGAATTCTCTGATTACTACTCTGCTGAATACCTAGGTGGACACCAAACATGCCCAGAGTTCTTTCTCTCTTTATGTGGTTCCTCTCCTCTCCGATACTCTTTGTACTTGATCTTAGCCAAAGGGCCAAGAGGTGATGCTCTCTGATACTCTGAAGACTAGCCTCCTGATCTCCTAGATTCTAAGCTTCATCTCAACTGAAGGCATCCGGTCTGCCTCAATGCCATGGCTTGGAAACTCCCTCAAGGCTGTAAATCGAGGCAATCATGGTGCTCACTTCACTTGTTTGCTATCATTAGGATTACTATTCTTTAATGCTGGATGCCAAGTGTCTTGAAGACTATTGTTTCTTATCTTTTGTTTTCTTTTGGGGTTTGGGGTTGTTTCAGGAAGAAGGATGATCCTAGTTCCCATTACTCTACCTCGGCCAAAAGTGGAAGTTCCCTTACTCATTTCCTTCCCTCCCTCCCTTTCTTCCTTTCCACAGAATTTTATTTTTGTCACCCTCAGTAGAGTGCTATGGCATCACAGCTCACAGCAACCTCAAACTCTTGGGCTCAAGTGATCCTCTTGCCTCAGCCTCCTAGAAGCTGGGACTACAGGTGCCCACCACAATGCCTGGCTATTTTTAGACACAGGGTCTTGCTCTTGCTCAGTTTGGTCTCAAATTCCTGAGCTCAAGGAATCCACCCCCTTGGCCTTCCAGAGTGCTAGGATTACAGGCATGAGCCACCATGTCCGGGCTTACTAATTTCTTCACTCTGGCCATTACTTCTTCAAGTTTTTTCTGCTCTCTCACTTGAAGGACTCCAGTTACTTTGATATTAGGCTGCTTAAGGGTTTCTCGCAGCTTACAGATCCTTTGCGCATTATTTAAAAATCTTTTTTTCCTCCATATGTTTCATATTGGATTTTTCTAATGCTGTGCCTTGAGTTCAAAAAGAGTATATAAGTCTTTTTTATGCAATATCCGCTCTGCAGTTAAGAATTTAGTGTGTATTTTTAATCTCCGACATTGTAGTTTTCATCTCTAGATATTAAATTTGGGTCCTTTTTATCTATCCTCCATTTTTCACCTGGCATGTTTCTCCTCTAGCTTCTTAAAGATATGCAGTAATAATTCTTCTTTTAATGTTCTTTTCTACTAATTCTATCCTCTGTGTCAATTCTGGATAACTTTTGATTGATTGTTCTTCTCATTATGTATGAATCATACTTTCTTGCTTCATGCACACCTGGTAATATTGATAGGTGGCACGAATTGCAAATTCTACCTTGTTGGGTATTGAATGTTTTCATATTCCTATAGATCAGCACTTCTCAACTTGTGGGTCGCGACCCACAGCAACTGTATTAAAGGGCCGTGGCATTAGGAAGATTGAGAACCAGTGCAATAGATATTTTTAAGCTTTATCCTGGGATGTGATTAAGTTACTCAGAATTAATTTGTTTTTTTCAGATCTTGATTTTGAGGTTTTTCAGACAGGGCAACAACATTTAATTAAGAGCTGATTTTCTGGGTAGTGCCTGTGCTCAGGGGGTAGGATCCTGGCCCCCCTATACCAAAGGTGGTGGGTTTCAACCTGGCCCCAGCCAAAGTGCAACAAAAAAATAGCTGGGTGTTGTGGTGGGCACCTGTAGTCCGAGCTACTCGAGAGTCTGAGGCAAGAGAACTGCCTAAGCCCAGGAGTTGGAGGTTGCTGTGAGCTGTGACCCCACAGCACTCTACCAAGGGTGATAAAGTGAGAGTCTGTCTCTAAAATAAAAAGAGCTCATTTTCAGGCTGGGTGCGGTGGCTCATGCCTATAAGCCTAGCACTCTGGGAGGCCAAGGTGGGTGGATTGCCTTGAGCGCAAGAGTTCGAGACCAGCCTGAGCCAGAGCAAGATCTAGAAAGGAAAGAAAGGAAGGAAGGAAGGAAGGAAGGAAGAAAAGAAAGAAAGCCAGGCATTGTAGCGGCGCCTGGCTACTGGGGATGCTGAGGCAAGAGAATCGCTTGAGTCCAAGAGTTGGAGGTTGCTGTGAGCTATGATGTGACAGTACTCTATTGAGGACCACAAAGTGAGATCCTGTCTCTAAATAAATAAATAAAGGGCTGATTTTCCTCCCAGGTCTGAGTACGGTTGCTTGAAGCTTTGTGAATTATAAGGTTTTCCACGCTGGCTGATGGTAATAAGAACTATTCTTGAGCCTTTATGAGTTCCAAGAATTATTCCTTCTATTTCTTTTGGGACCTTCTTTCTTTCCCTTCAGCGTCATCTTCTCCCATGCAGTCACTGGCCAGATTCCAGGGGCACCCTGCAGATCTCCAGGATTCTCTCCCTGTGCAGCTCTATCCTCTCCTGTAATTGGCCTTTGCAAACTCTGACACTTTGGTCTCTCTGAGCTCCCAGTTCATGCCCGGGTTCACCTTTATTGCATCTTAAAAATTTTGTCTAGGCAGTAAGCTGGGGCAATTGAACTACTCAGGTCATTTATTTCTTGCCTCTCAGGGCTCGTGGTCCTCTTTGCCTGATGACTAATGTCTTAAATACTTTCGCTTTACATATGTTTTCCCAGATTTTAGCTGTTTCAGGGAGGATGGTAAATCTGGTGCTGTTTATTTCTTCTCTGGAAACTGAAGTCTTCACAGCTCATTTTTGCAGACTAACACCATAATACTTTTTATGATCGTTGATCCAGTTTCTAATAATTAAACTGTATTGATAAACTTGTTCAGAGAGCATGATGCTAATCCAAAATGTAAACTTTAAGTTTTAAATTTAAATCCTAAGCCAATGAGCTCAGTCACTGTTTTCAGGGATGCTTCTTCCTTCAACAAATATCTGAGCACCTACTATGCAGTGGACACACTTCTAGCTGCCAAGGATTACAATGGTGGACCAAACAAAATCGCTGCCCTGGTGGTGTTTATATCCTGGAGAGAATGTTTTGAAAAGCAGGGCACAGTGTGGCTAACATGCCTGTAATCCTGGCGACTTGCAGGCTGAGGTGGGAGGATCACGGGAGCCCAGGAGCTCCAGGGCACAGAAAGCAATGCCTACTAGCCTGGGTGACAAAGACAGACTCCATCTCAACAAAGGAAGGAGGGAAGGAAAGGAGGGAGGCAGGGAGGGAGGAAGGAAGGAAAAATTCTAAGGAACAATAATAAATCCAGGCATACTTTCAGCTTGAAACATGTCTTCAAGTTAGTATTCCCAGCTGGGTGCCAGTCTATGGGCCGGTGGGTTTGAATTCGGCCAAGCCAGCTAAACCATGACAACTACAACAACAACAAAATAGCCGGGCATTGTGGCGGGCACCTATAGTCCCAGCTACTTGGGAGGCTGAGGCAAGAGAATCGCTTAAGCCCAAGCGTTTGAGGTTGCTGTGAGCTGTGACACTACAGCACTCTACTGAGGGCGACATAGTGAGACTGTCTCGGAAAAAAAAAGTTAGTATTCCCGAATCACAAATAATTCTGCAACATCTGTGGGCGACTTTTATTCAGTTCCGATATAAATTGGAGGCAGGCACCCCTGGCGACCAGCTCACATCTGATGCCTAACGCAGAGGGTGATTCACAGTAGGTGCTTAATACATACTTGATTTACTATTTTCAGCCTGTTCTTTCCCAGGGTCCTCGTTTTTTTGCTTCCTGGGAGGGCACAGCTGATAATGAAGAGGAAGACAGCACCACCAGGGTGAAAAGGCCCAAGCGTTACTTACACCTGGAGATGGACATGCAACACTGGCTGGCTGCTGGGCTGTTCTCTTAAATTTACTACTGGCCGGTGAGAGCTGACACTTCCTGCCTTTGATCTGGTTCCTGTCATTTCAACATGATTGACCCACATCCTTTGCCTTGATTGCCCCAAGTGGGGGCAGGGAGGCCAGAAAAAAAGAGATTCTGTAGCTGTAAAACTTTGTGTGTGTGTGTGTGTGTGTGTGTGTGTGACACACAGAGAGAATCTCGATTCAAAGAAGAGAATATGTAGAAATATATGGAACACACGAATATGCAAACGACACTGGGGAAACTCGGGTGCGCTGGGGGTGGTCGGGGCCGCGTTCTCCCACCCCCCGGGGCTCCGACCCAGGCGCGGGCGGGTCATCCCGCGCCGCCAGCCAGAAGGCAGC